CGTTTCATCTCACCTGGCCCGTTTCGTCTCACCTGGCTCGTTTCATCTCATCTCACCTGGCTCGTTTCATCTCATCTCACCTGGTTCGTTTCATGTACATCAGTGAGCACTGGCACGTGCACCTGCTGTCTCACTTGCTCCAGGATCTGTTGCACCACTCCCAGACAGAATATGCACAACAGCAGGGAGCGGTAGGAGGGTGTAGAAGAGGAAGGGGGGGGGTGGAAAAAAGGAATTTGAGATTGAAGTATAAACGGAATCAAAGGGTAAAATAACATCATAATGTGAGTCAGACTGAACAGGAAAAGGGGACAAAACCAGAAATGCAAAGAAACAACTGGAGCTGGCCCGGAGTTGGAAGCTTCCACAGATTGAGAGAAAGGCAGGCGTGAAGACAAATAGATATCGCGCTTCAACTGACACTGGCCCCTTCCCTTCAACTGACACTGGCCCCTTCCCTTCAACTGACACTGGACCCTTCCCTTCAACTGACACTGGCCCCTTCCCTTCAACTGACACTGGCCCCTTCCCTTCAACTGACACTGGCCCCTTCCCTTCAACTGACACTGGCCCCTTCCCTTCAACTGACACTGGCCCCTTCCCTTCAACTGACACTGGCCCCTTCCCTTCAACTGACACTGGCCCCTTCCCTTCAACTGACACTGGACCCTTCCCTTCAACTGACACTGGCCCCTTCCCTTCAACTGACACTGGCCCCTTCCCTTCAACTGACACTGGCCCCTTCCCTTCAACTGACACTGGCCCCTTCCCTTCAACTGACACTGGCCCCTTCCCTTCAACTGACACTGGCCCCTTCCCTTCAACTGACACTGGCCCCTTCCCTTCAACTGACACTGGCCCCTTCCCTTCAACTGACACTGGCCCCTTCCCTTCAACTGACACTGGACCCTTCCCTTCAACTGACACTGGCCCCTTCCCTTCAACTGACACTGGCCCCTTCCCTTCAACTGACACTGGCCCCTTCCCTTCAACTGACACTGGCCCCTTCCCTTCAACTGACACTGGCCCCTTCCCTTCAACTGACACTGGCCCCTTCCCTTCAACTGACACTGGCCCCTTCCCTTCAACTGACACTGGCCCCTTCCCTTCAACTGACACTGGCCCCTTCCCTTCAACTGACACTGGCCCTTGAACTCACCTTAAGCCCCTGCTCCATGCCTGGCCCTCTGAACGCATCCACTGATGTGCGATTGGCCTTGTCAAAGCTGGCCTTGAAAACGAACCTCAGACCCAGGCTGGGATGGATCGATTGCAGTTGCAGAAGAAAGGGAATACACGGGGAACCATTGAGTAGGTTGCTTGGCGTGCGTTTTACAAGAGTCAGAGAGAGGGTCAAAGAGGGTGTGCTAGGTGCTACCATGCATCAAGCGATGTGACTCAAAGAGGGTGTGCTCCTTTAGCGTGATGCACTTAATAAACCGCGCCTTAAGCAGCAAAGAGTACTGCCTCGACTTAATCAACTCCTTCCAGCTCCCCCGCCCCCCCCCCCTTTCACCTCTACCCCCCAAGCCTCCCCCAAGCCTCTGTCCACCTGTCAGCGACCTCCTTGATAGCCCGTGCCATGTGCAGAGTGTGCTGCTCCGTCCTAACCATGCCCTTCCAGCCCCTCACGCCTCCCCATTCACCTCAATCCCTCAAGCCTCCCTTAAACCTCCCTCAAAGCTCCCTTAAACCTCCCTCAAACTTCCCTTAAACCTCCCTCAAACCTCCCTTAGACCTCCCTCAAATCTCCCATAAACCTCCCTCAAACCTCCCTCAAACCTCCCTCAAACCCACCTTAAACCTCCTTTAAACCTTCCTCAAACCTCCCTTAAACCTCCCTCAAACCTCCCTTAAATCTCCCTCAAACTTCCCTGTACCTGTCAGCGACCTCCTTGATAGCCCGTGCCATGTGGAGCGTGTGCTGCTCCGATTCGATCACGTTCGGCCCCGCTATCAGGAAAAAGGGCTCGCCCGGCATTGGCTGTTAGTGGTGGGAGGTCAAGACAGAGAGGGCGGAAACGGGGAGAGGAGCCAGCTTTCTTGAGGCGCCTTTTCCAACAGGGTTAAACACTTCCAGACCCTCCATCAGACAAAAAAGCTCACCCGCCCTTCGTTATCGATTGTATGGTAACACATTCAGCAGTGCAAGAAGACCTTGACTCTCCTTTTGGACAGTCGGACGAGACGGGGTTGGGTTTGGGGTCTGGGGTTTTTGAGTCTGATTCATATGTCACCTCGCTTTTTAGTCTGACTCAGAAGCGCATCATTCTGCGAATGAACAGGACGAGACTGAAGGCCCCAAGGTGTAGAATCTGGAGCCGTGGAATGCGGTGACTGACACTTCGGAAATAAACACACACACTCTATCTCTCTTTAGGCAATGGGCCAAGCCGGACAGATGGAAGCACTTCGGGGGAGACGTTCACATCGTAGCAGTCTGGATACGATATGAGCACAGGCCAGGACCATGACTCAAAATTACTAAAAGGAAGCTTAGATTCTTACCACCTGTAACGAGAGACTATACGTCGAAATTAACGCTAACATTTTCGTACTGCAGAGGTATGGACAGAAGCGAGCACAGGAGAGGACGGGAATGACGCTAACTTCTTACTACCTGGAACGGGAACTGGGCTTCGGGAATGACGCTAACTTCTTACTACCTGGAACGGAAACTGGGCTTCGGGAGAGACGCTAACATGCTAGTCTTGCAGCGATTGACCAACGCACACCTTCACTAAGCGGAAATCTCCAGTAACAGGATCTACTAGTTGATACCATTTACGGTTCTACCAACGCACATTCACGTCGAAGCTCGGGGCCGCCGGCACGCTAGTCGCTGCCATGGCGGACGCCTGGAATTGATTGGTGTAGCGGCTATTCCCAAGGCCGGCCAGTCTGTTAGTCAGGGCTGCTCAGAGACAGAAGTAATGTTTCTCCGAGGTTGGGATTTCGAGACGCAGACGAATTTATGAGTGACATCTGCTTCAGTTCCGGTTCTAAAAAGTCCCATGAGCTCTCATCCAAGCTTGAAAGCATAGCGGGAGAGCCTAAACCAGAGCGGTTCGTGGCTAGGCAAGTGTTTACAGCGCGTACATCGAGGTTTCACTGAATGCGAGTTTTCAGAACATTTAAACGTTTCCAGTGAAATGACATACATTCTTCGTATGATGCCAAACTAGTTTCAGGTCACCATCAGATGCTCCACAGCAAAGTCCACTATCTTGCCATACCATGGCAAACCTATCAAAACATTCCCAACCAAAACACATCATCCCGAACTTTCACAACAGATGCGGGTATGTTCTCTAGCGTATAACAAGCTCCTATTTTCTAGACGGACACGCCTTGCTCAAGCAGCAGTGTGAGGTTGGGCTGTGAGGCAGTAGGGCCCTCGAATTGGATGGGGCCTGAACAGTGCAAAAGGGAGGAGCACAAAGGTTGAAAGAGATTAAGACAAACGAGAGCACAACCAACAGCAAGAGCAGCATCAAACTCAGAAGGGAAGGAAGATGAACCAATGATGGGGGCGAAGGGGATGGGAAAAGAGGGGGTTGAGGAAGGCGGGGTGAGGACAGGAGAGGAAGAAGGGAAGGGCGCACCTGGGCTTCTGTAGCGGTCATTAAGAGCCCAGTCGTCACGCACTGAGACAAACTTCTTGAAGGGCGCACCCTCAAATTCAACCATGGCCTTCTTGATCACAGGCTTGTTCTTGCCTGCTCACGTGCACACATGCACACATGCGAAAACACACACAGCAGCATGATCCACAGGATGAGTGAAAATCCAAGTGTGGGAGGCTTGTGGTACAAACAACCTCGAGCTGAAGACAGTGAGTCTTCTCTCCCCTCTCCTCTCCTCCCCACCACCCACCCTTGCGCCTCTCCACCACCATGAGCTCAGTCAGTGCAGTGCTCCTCACAGTCCATTACTACTAGCTACTCACTACACACCCTTCTCCCTGTTTCCTCAGTCCTCTCCTGTACTCTCCTCCCCTCACTCTCTGCTCTCCTCCCCTCACTCCCTCCTCTCCTCCCCTCACTCTGTACTCTCCTCCCCTCACTCTGTACTCTCCTCCCCTCACTCTGTACTCTCCTCCCCTCACTCTCTCCTCTCCTCCCCTCACTCTCTCGTCTCCTCCCCTCACCCTCTCGTCTCCTCCCCTCACCCTCTCGTCCCCTCACTCTCTCGTCTCCTCCCCTCACTCTCTCCTCTCCTCTCCACCTGACCTTGGAGCCTCTTCACCACCATGAGCTCAGTGAGCGCGGTCCACTCCTGAGGGGGAGCAGTCAGGTTCCCCACAGACGCAATGAGCCCTGTCTCCCCTGCCTGCACCAGTGCTGCTGCCACACTCACCAGTACCTCTCCCCACTCAAACCCCCCCTCGTTTCTCTCACTTCCTCCCTCTGTTACTCACCTGTGCGCCCCTTCCCCTTCCCACCACTCGCCCTTGCCCCTCTGCCACTCACCCTTGCGCCTCTCCACGACCATGAGCTCAGTGAGAGCAGTGCCGCCCACAGTCCATTCCTGGGGGGGAGCAGTCAGGTTCCCCACGGACGCGATCAGCCCCGTCTCCCCCGCCTGCACCAGTGCTGCCGCCACGGAACCGAGAGCATAGCAGTAGGTGGCGTCGAAGAGCGTGGGCATGCCACACCGCCCCTCGTAGCTGCAGGGGTAGACATGGTAGGAGCAGGGGGAGGGAAGGGAGGCGGACTTGAATTGCTAGGAGTTGGGGAGTGTTCAGGATCAGTAGCTTGTGTTCAGCACTCTCATCAAAGCCTAAACTCCCCAATCTACGCCCTTCTTCCCACCTCCTCTCTCCTCTGCCTGGCTCCTCTCACTCTGCAGGATCTCAAACCCGAAACGTCGCTCAAGACTCACCCGCAGAAGTGCGAGCGGCCCTCGAAGGCGCCCTTGTACTGCCCCGCCTTGGCCCGCCGCCCCAGCTCCTCCTCCACCATGCTGATCAGCATCTTCTCCGTCTCTATCCGCGCCACCTGGGGGATCGGGGTGGCAGAGTGGGAGATGGGGAAGTGGAGGTAAGGGAAACTACGTGAAGGCCAAGGGAGGGGCGCATTAACGGGGTTCAGGAAGCAAGAGGAACAGTGTGCTCATTTCCTGCTCTGACACTGACAGCACACCTTTTGCTCCTGTGCTTGGACTGCGCGCGCGTGTTTGCACTACAAGCGCCGACTAACCTGCACGTTGCCATGGGGATCTCGCTCGAGCAGCAGCTGGTCCTGGATGTCCTTGGGCAGCGAGTCGAAGAGCGTGCGCGTGTTGGGCTGCAGTCCCTCCTTCCACTCGTACATGCCCTCCGCGTCCACCGCCGCCTTGGCCAGAATCTCATTCAGCTGGGCAATCAAGTCGTTGATCTGCCAGGTGTTTAGAGAAGGAGAGGACGAGTGGGTTAGTGGGAGAGTGAGTTGAAATGGGCATTGGTGTGTCCCTCTGTGTTGGGCTGCAGCCCCCCCTTCCAATCGTACATGCCCTCCGCATCCTCGGCCGCCTTGGCCAGAATCTCGTTCAGCTGGGAGATGAGGTCGTTGATCTGCGTGAAGCGAGAGACGGGATGGAGGATAACGAGTGGTGCGGAAGTGAGAACAATGCGGGATGGGGCCAACGAGTCCCTCGGGAATGCACACCGTCAGGATGAGGTCAAAAGACAGGGCGAGGATGCGGACAGGTACCTCGGGGATGGCTGAAGTCGATGAGCCCCTCGGGAATGAGCACCACGCCGAATATAAGGCCGAGATCAAGGTGGCTAAAGAGGCCTGAGAGGTACCTAGGGGATGAAACCGACAAGCCCCTCCTCACCTCGGGGATAAAGTCGATGAGCCCCTCGGGAATGAGCACCACGCCGAAGTTCTTGCCCGCATCAGCGCGCTTGCAGATGACGTCAGCGATGTGGTTGGTGACCTGGCCCAACGTCATGCCCTTGGCGAACACCTGGCGGGACGAGCAGAAGAGGCGACGGGGGGGGGCGACAGAGAGAGCAGAACCAAGCAGAGGAGAGACTGATACGCATGCGACGACAGAGAGGAGACGTGGCCACGAGAAAGGGATACGCATGAGACAGTGAAAGACAGGCGTAGACATACGGAAACAGTTCTCTCACACACAACGCATCTCCTCCCCCGCAACCAACCGCGTGACGGCATTGCGAACGGCACTCCACCGTTCTTACCACCCACTGACCTCCTCGCCGACGAGCGTGATGTTGGGGTGAGTCTGCAGTGCGCACTCGAGGGTAATGTGCGACGCCGCCCGGCCCATCAGCCGCACGACTGCCGTGCCGCCACGTGGACGAAGGTACGTCCCATGCGCCCGTCCCACGTCGCCACGTGGACCAACATGCACCGAAACGCCAAACGCACGCAACCACACGCCATCGTTGGGAGGGTTGGGGAAAAGGAAGCGAGCGAGGGGACGAAACAGGGTGGGAAATAGAACGTGACATTAGAGGCAGCTCTTATCAGAAGCAGACAGGCCTGATTTGATCCACAGCATGCATCGTGCGCGCCACGCCCATAGGAGCGCGAAATGCGGAAACGGCGAACAGACCACCCCTCCATCTCTCTACTTATCCCTGCCTTTCCTTTCTTGCCCCCCTCCCTCTCTTTTTCTGTACCCTTCCACTTTCGCCATTCCTTCCTTTTCTCCCTCCCCCCCTTTTCGGTCCACTCACAGTGATAGTACTTGCCGCCAGACCGCGCATCAGTCATGACATTCCCGATGGTCTCGGAGTATATCTGAACGGGAAACCGGGCATGCACGCGCAAGGGAAGACAGTGCAGAGGAAGAAGGCATAAGCGAGGCATTTGCGCTGAGGAATATTCTCGGCGAATCGGAGCTACGAAACGCAAAGCTGGCTGATAGGCTGAAACAATATCGAGATTGTGAATCGCGTGGACATTGCAAAAGCTAGTGACGCAGTAACGTGCCTGTTCCCATGAACCCTTTCCAGTTTGCTTCTAC